TTAATTTAATTTAATTTATTATATCTATTAGTGTTTTCGTTTTCGGTTGAGGTATTAAATTCAAAACGTACAGTTTTGATGTGATTTTGTTGAGCCTGAGTTAAGCTGCGTTATCCACAAGTCAAACCAACGCAGCCGAGCCATGATGGAATGGGGACTCCCTGGGATCTCTCCTCCGTCAGACGGGTTGGTCCCAGGAAGCCACCAATATGGTGTTTGAGGGTTAATGAGGCAAGTATCTATCTATCTACACCCTTAAGCATTCAATGCAGGGACTACACAACGAACCAGGCGATCCGCTGCACAGCCCCCTAACTCAGCATGCGGGCTGTACCCAACTGTCACCTCGAGTCCAACACCAATTGGAGGGGAGCAATCGAACTAGACTCCTGTGGGCTCCTCACCTCCCGAGTACTGATATAGGTTCTCCGATCGCCATCAGCTACTCCTGAACACCCCTCGCTGGGTGACATCCGTTTTGCCGTATTCTCGCTATCACAGGACATCCTTCGGCCTCCTGGCTTACCGAAGTTGCTATGCTTTTCGCATCTACCTTGCTTTCGCTACTAATGGGTCAGACTGCACACCTGATCCACATATGGTTACCGACATTGCCACTATGTTTCACGTCGTAACCCTCCTAATGGGTCAGGTTGTCCTCTACTCTATGACCCCGTCTGATGCGCTTCTTTTGCCAGGACACTTAAATATGGTTAGGGAGTGCGGCTACCCATAGGGCCGCTGACATTTTGGCGCCTGTCGAGGTTCCCATGCGATTGCCACTAATAGTGCTGACGACCGCACCGGGAGAGCCCCCCTTTCGACTTGGTAGGCTTTATTGCGGGGAGAAGAGGAAACTCCTGCGTTAGCCTACCTCGTCTGCGCTGGGCTTACATCGCGTTCGAATGCCAGCTTGCTGCTTACCTTCCCCTCAGGGCTTCCGCGGCGCTCTACGATACACCAGCGGGGAGCAACAAGGACAGCAAAATAATACAAATTATACCTGAGTTTTGACTTGATACGTAATGTAAATATTTCTATCTTACTTGCTCTGGCGCCATCTTAACCGACCCGTCTATGGCTTCGAATTTAACATGGTAGCCATACGAAGTTCAAAATGTATTGCTCGAAGCTCGTTTGGACAGCGCTGCTTGTTCTTACTTAATCTCATAGAACTTTTTTCGAAGAACCCAGTGGCGTGCTCGGCTGTTTTCTATCACTTCCACCGTTTTGTAGTTATTCAGCAAGCATGTGCTTCTTTTAAACGAAACACTGTGTATTATTTTTTATATTTATTAGGCACACTGTGAATTTTCCAAAAATATAATTATACACAATTATTTTCAAAAACAAGCTGAGAGTTTACGATTTCCTAAAATTTTCTTTTGTGTAAGGAATAGGCTATGACTGATTTATTTAGAACAAAAAACAAAATTTCACCCTTATACATTCCACATTGTTCAACAACAGTGTTTTGCCAATGTTATTTACAGCAAATCCTTATACTAATGATTCTTTTGGCAAATTCGTTATTCGGTCCGATGGATCTCATTTCTCAAGTGCATGTATTTTTAATCGTCAAAATACAAGAAAATGGTCTGCCAATATTATGCCTAATAAATATAAAAAATTATATGAAAACCGCAACACTCTATCTTTAAAAATAAGGGAGATACCCAGCAAAAGTGTTGAAAATGAGATGCCCCGTACATTTATAAATATTCGTCTGATACTTCTGAATTAATATTATGCTATTTCTGTGCCATTATGACGACAGAAATAAATAGAGATTGCTCTCCAGTTTTATCAATCTAAGCTGTTTTCAGTTGAAAGCTGCTAATCTGCGTTCAAACGGGCTTTGATTGTTATGTATTTAATTACTTTAAAGATTCAATGGTTTAAACAGAACTCGACCAAGATACGATGAACATCTCTTGAATTAACTGTAAAGTGTACTGCTTTGAATTCATCTATTTTCAATTAAACTAGGAACTGATTCATAGCTTTCATGAACTGATGAATAGTTTGATTAGTGAGGTAATTATGTGACGCTGTGGTTACATACAGTAATTCATTAGATATATTCAGCTTCTAGCATCGCATAGTTCTCAATAAAATAATTTTTTTTTATGTAGAATAACATTTATTAACGTGCTAAAATGTGATCGTATCGGTACGTTAATAAAAAGGGTGACATAAGAAACAAAATAAATTCCTAAAATAAATTTTAATTAGAGATTATTTTAAGGAAGCACAATAAGTGACTTATCATAATAAAGTTAACTTTTAGAAAATTTACAAAAACTGACTTCAAGACTATACCTACATGTACAAACTTAACTCAAAGCAAAGAGCATTAATTAATGATATTAATATACCTATACATAATTTAAGATTCAGTGCCAGCCAAGAGCAACAGTTTAATCCTGTCTCCGCAACAAGTTTTTCTTCGATTTCTTTTATCTAATCCCTATTTCGTACTCAAATTGTCTTGTATTTAAAAACCTTCCGCACACTATTACTCCTTTTATTTAACTATTTGCTGTTTAAATAAAACTTCTATTATTAATTAATTTTAAATTCACTTTGTCACTACTTCGCTCCTTCTTCTTCGCTTTGTATTGCCTCGAACTCGTTCTCGTACTACTCACTCGATCTCGCGACAACTATTTATAGAGGTTAGCCGTGTTCTAGAAAGATCCAGTATTTGTCGTCTAAAAGACTGCTCTTCATTACCATGTATGTTGAGTTGCCTATATTGTGACATTGCGCACTTCCTAAAACTGATCGTCAGTGACGTTGTCTCTATAGGGAGCAAGCCGGTCAAGACGGATGATCTTCATATTTGCGCGAAGTCCCTTCTGAATTTGATAAACAACGTCGCTAATGCGTGGGGTAACGGTGTATGGACCATCCCAAGCCTGTTGTAGTTTCAGGAAACTTCCCTTCCGCCTTGATAGATTATATAACCGTATTTTGTCGCTTTCGTTAAACCCAGAAAAATTGGCTCGTCGATCGTATCTGTCTTCATGCAGTAACCTTCAAATAGCAGCTTCGTACGCACAGCGCTATGGATGGAGTCGGTTCTCGTAGTTCGCCCACGTATTCGTCTATAGATGCTGGAGAGTCTCCAGGATGACCAAACATCATGTCAGCTGGAAACTTGAGTTCTTTCCAAATAAAATGCTATCCGGTGTTTTCCAGTTGTATCATGGTTGGCGGATCTATAAGTCAGGAGGATTAATGTTATGTGTAGGTCCTAGCCAGATTGGTGCTCGTTGACGGCGCTTCCTAAATTCGTTCCCATAGTAGCGTTAAATCATTCAACATTCTATCAGGCCGTGGAGGTAATGCCCATTAATTCAGTGATGTTCTTGGACAAAGCTTCCTGTAGTCAACACAAAATTTCGTAGAACCACCTTTCTTGCGTATCAACACTGTAAAGGAGTCTCAAGAACTTTGAGATGGTTCTATCACCCCTTCTTCATGCATGTCTTTTGTAAGGTTATTGGCTTCCTCGTTTCGCCCAAGGAACTCTTCTAGGTGGTTGTTTGATGGGCTTACCGTTCCAGTGTTGATGCGGTGGTATGTTAAGTTGGTTCTACCAAAGCTTTAATACGAGAGAGCGAAGACGTGTTGAAAACAACCAAAACATTCTTCCAATTGTTTGTTGAGATGGTAACTTGACCGTTTCACCAGCTCTGATGAAGTTGCAGGAAGTGATGTCGGTTTCGTCTAGGGTTCTTCTTCCCAGCCACAGTGGGACGCGCATTGTAGAAGTGCTCAGATTTGAGTCGAATCCACGTTATTGAAGGTACAATCCAATGATGACAGCATCTACTACGGCGGCCACCAATACCCAACTGTATAAGTACGTATTTTCAATTCTACTTTCGATGTTGCATTCTCCATGGATTGGTGAAGTCTCTCCAGTACCTGTAGTCAAAATCAGTCTTCTGGCTAAAAGTCGAATTCGCCATTCCGATACAACATCAGGGCGAACAATGGTGTTTCATACCCTTGGGTTAAACACCTTCTTCACACTATTACTACTTTTATTTCAGATAAAACGACTTACCTGTAAGGAAGTTCAATCGTAATTATACTACTGGTCCGGTCCGCATAGAACACATAGGTAGTTGCAATCTTCGATGTGCGACGTACCACTATGTTGAAAGCAAACAGCCCCCACTCCGGGACCTAGGACACCACTCAGTGCTTATGAATCATTACGCGGTTTAGAACCAGATCGCGAAATTGTAAAAGGGAAGGGACACATCTGTAAATTTCGTTTGGTCCGCGAACCATAGGAATGGAGTAATTTTTGGGTTGGGGTGTTCTATGCGGACCGGACCAGTAGTATAATTACGATTGAACTTCCTTACAGGTAAGTCGTTTAATCTGAAATTATACGTCCTGGTCCGGTCCTTATAGAACACATAGGTAGTTGTTTAAAGCTATGAGCGATCTAATCAACCACATGTAAGAATAATAATATATTTAAAATAAACTCAAAGAAAATACAAGCATTTGTAAAGGTTAACACAATCCAATTTTGTAAATAAAAGCAAAATAATAAACATAATTCTATCAAGAAAATACGCTGCTTGCAAATTCCAAATCTCCATAAGTTGACCTATTATAAAACTTAAAAGATATCTCGGAATTTTTTGACCAGCCTGCTGTAGATTTAATTGTATTAATAGTAACTCCTGCCTTATATGCTGCTGAAGTTGCAGCATGACGAGTGCTATACGCTGTGAATTTCGTTGTGTCTACACCCCCCTTACTCAAGGTTGCTTTAATCCAACGTGAAATCGTTTGAGTAGAAGCAGCACGGTATGGTTTTTTATGGGTGATTAATAGTTCACTTATATTATCTCTTAAGGAACTTGTTTTTTCTAGATAAAATGAAAGTGTTGACGCAACACACAACGGAGGATTTTCTGTAAAAAAGGGAATAACTAATTTGGGTTGTTCTCTGGATGGCCCGGATGTCTTCANACTAATCTGGGTTGCTCTCTGGAAGGCCCGGATGTCTTCAACAATTCTGGAATTAGAACTTCGATCCTGTTGTCAAACTTTGCGAGATTGTTTATTTTTATTTTCGCAAGTGTTTGTATTCTGTGAGCTGTACAGAGAGCTAGTAGAGAGGATAATTTGTAAGTGAGGGCTTGCAAACTTAGGGACTGCAACGGAAACAATGTAGATAAATAAGCTAATACGGGATTCGGATTCCAAGTGAAACCATATTTAGGAAAAACTGGCCGAAGTCTAAACACACCCTTTAAAAAACGATTTATTAACTTTTCTTCAATTTTGTTTGGAGAAAGTATGTTTAAGGCCGAACGGAAGGTGTTTAAGGTGGAATAACTCGAACCCTTTTCGAACTGCTCATTTAGAAACTCAATGACGTTATTTGTTGTTGGATTCAATAAGCTGTTAGTATGAATCCTACAAAAATCCCACCATTTTTTGTAAGTAATATCATACTGCGATAAGGTACTTTCGCTCAAGGAGGAAGTCATCACGAAGATGGAGGCTTCAGACAACCCTCTAGATTCGTACGCTTCCCTGATAATAGCCCTGCAACCAGGGTAAGTTTCGGCCATAAGGGGTGCGGATTTCTGCAAGGACACAATAATAGATCTTCATTAGGACCTAAATATATTGGATCCTTAATTAATAATTTTATAAACATAGGATACCAGGGCTGAGTACTCCAAAAGGGTACCACGACAATACCCCCCCCCTGTCGATAATAATTTTATTTAAAACTCTTGTAATTAAGCTGAATGGGGGAAACGCATAAAAATATATCTTGGACCAATCTAAGGTAAAGGCGTCCACTGCCACAGACCCCGGATCCCTCTTCCATGAAATATATTTTTCACATTTAGCGTTTAATTTTGACGCGAATAAGTCTATTTCAGGCCTACCAAACAGTGATATAATTTCCAGAAATTTCGTTTTATTTAAGCTGTACTCCGTTTCAACTGATCTTGATCTAGATTCTTTATCCGCCCTTGTATTATTTACCGACTCAATATAAGTGGCAAAGATGAAAGTGTTCCGTGTCTCACACCACTGCCAAATTTGTCTGGCTAAGGAAGATAACTGTTTATATTTTATTCCACCCATCCTGTTTATATAGGAAATAGCCGTGGTATTATCCACCCTAAGTAGTATGGAACAATTCCTTTTGTCTTTTGCAAAACATCTTAAACCGTTGAAAACAGCTAATAATTCTAAATAATTTATATGGGAATCAGCTTCGTGATGCCCCCAGAATCCTCGAGCGGGTTCACCGTGAAATATAGCGCCCCAGCCAGTTTGAGAAGCATCTGTATAAATCTCAAGCAAATACTTTCTAGGTAAAAGAGACTCATGTGCTTCAGGAATAGCCTTTAACCACCCTCGTAAATCTGTTTGTATTTCCTCAGATATATACGTATGCTTATCATAATTATTATGATTGGTTTTAAGAGCTAGAAATTTCGCTCTTTCGAGTTGTTTTGTGTATAACCAACCATACTTAACAGCTGGACAATTTGAGATAAGGGTTCCGATCAACTTAGCAAAACTTCTAATTTTACACCTAGAGACCTGTAAGAATCTTTGGATCATATTGCAAGTTCTCGCAATTTTATCATGTGGCAGTGTTATACGCAATTCTGTGCTGTTAAAAACGAACCTTAAAAACTTACATTCAGTACTTGGTTCAAGACAACTTTTGCTATAGTTTACTATAAAACCCAATGATTGTAGCAATGAAATTGATAAAGACACATTTTTACGACATTCAGGAATGGAACCGAAAAATAAAAAATCGTCAAGGTAATTAATAGATATATTACCTCCTGCCCGAAGATATTGAACTACTGGTTTTAAGATCTTAGAGAAAACAAATGGTGCTGTACAGAGTCCAAAGGGCAAACAAGTAAATTCATAGATATTTTCCTGAAAAATGAACCTAAGGTATTTTCTATGTGGTTCATAAATTGGAATAAGGAAATACGCATCCTTGAGATCCAAAGAAGCCATTAACGAACAGTGGTGTACCATATTTTTAACAGTCCTGTAGTCGTCAAGTTTAAAATGAGGCGGTGACAGGAACTTATTTAAGGACTTTAAATTTAATATAAATCTAAACTTGTTTCCAGGTTTCGGAACTAAAAAGTATGATGATATAAATAGTTGTTCTTTAGGTTTACATTGGTGTATAGCGCCAATTGTAAGTAATTTGTTAATCGCCTTTTTGTACTCTGAAATAGTATGGATACTTATGAAACTTTTAGAAGGTATTACAGACTGGTACGGCTTTGTTATAAATGGTAGATGGTAACCACTTATAAATTGTAATATAAATGGATCACTTGTTAAGAGCCTCCACTGATTTACAAATAATTTTAATCTACCCGCATAGTGGCTGAGTTCTACCTTTAGCGTCTTTGCCTGTAATGTTGGTTCTTCCCTCTGGGGTAACCGGCGTATCTGTCCCTTAACCTCCCTTGGTCTGCTCGTGAGCTGTATGGCTTCCTTTCTTTGGTAAAGTTTTGGATCTTGAATCGTGCGCGTGATCTTGGGCGCTGGGAGTTTAAAAAATTCGTTGCCGATGTAGATGAACTGGCCGCCGAGGAAAACTGTGTTCCTTTGACGGGAGCCTTTAACTCCAGGCAGGCTTGATTTCTTAAGAGCTTATTATTCTTTACACCTTTCCGCTAGATTATCGCCAAATAAGCTGGTATTCAGCTTTGTCTCCTTTGCTAATCGATGCATGGAAGGTTTTAATTTCGGGAAAATCTGATGTCTTCTGTGGATGGACAACTGGAAATGTGCGTTGCAGATCAATTTTGCACTATCAACTAAAGCCGGAAGAGCCTATTCCCTAATTTTTGCGTCACGATTGTCTTGAGTTAAGAAAACATCTAGGGCTACACCTAATGCTCCCAAACTCGCTCCCAGATCATTTTGAATATGCGACATATATGAATCCTTCTTAGCCTCAACCTCGGAAAGAAGTGCTCGAACTTCGGGGTTTAAAACCGGAGCATGTAACATGGGGCAGTTGTCGGGGATTATCCATTTTACTCGCATTTCCTCTTTGTTTTCTGTAGCAATTCCCTCTTTCAAATAGGTGGTCCAACGGGATACCAACTCTGTATTTAAAGAAGTGCCTTTTTTGGCTGAAGTGGAAGGATCAAAGTCTAAAATTTCCACATAGTTTTCTGAATGTGTGGAAACATTTTCCGAATGAGCAGTATCCTCTCCTGGGTGAAAAGAATCAACATCTGAATCTGATTCTACTAAAATTCTCCTTCTTGGAACGGTTGTTGTTAGACTTGGTGCACGTGTAAAAGAAACAGTTAAGAGGAACTAGTCAGATCCGTTGTTAAGCACTCTTCTAATTAATTCCGATTAGGCTAGTGAAATTTGTAAGTACAGTGAGTATTCGGCGGGAGCGAGACAGGCTACCCGGAAAAGAAGGTAACGGAAGGTGCGAGTAAGGCACCTACCTAGAGATCACCCTGTATCTTAATTCTTAAAACTTCGGGAGTGAGAAAGACTACCGGTTTTATTAGACTCAGGCGAGGTAAAGTGCGAGTAAGGCACCTACCTAGAATCCACTGCTTCAACAGTGTATAAGATAACACTTGTGCAGTTGTAACCAACGAGAGCGAGAAAGGCTACCCATGGTAGTTGTAAAAGGCAACGTGGGTGCGAGTAAGGCACCCGCCTTTTTTCTTGGAAATTTCGGTGCTGTCAGTTGCAGCCCCTGACAAGAAACACTGAAAACAGCGTTACGCCAGCTGCATAGGAATCGGTTTGGCAAACTGGCAAAATCCAGGGGTAATGCGCACCAACCTTGTCTTGAACAGTTTTAGGCCTAGATAAAGAAAAAAGTAGAGAATATACTTACTTGTAGAACTAGGCGAAAGATCGTCTAGTAATGTTTCCAATTTTTTCATTTTCTTTCTCAGTGTAAGCAATCTTTTCTTAGCGTCCAGCTTTCTTTTTGGCATCTTGATAAATTCTCACAACACAACCGGCACGTCTCACACTAAACTGCGTAATGATTCATAAGCACTGAGTGGTGTCCTAGGTCCCGGGGTGGGGGCTGTTTGTTTTCAACATAGTGGTACGTCGCACATCGAAGATTGCAACTACCTATGTGTTCTATAAGGACCGGACCAGGACGTATAATTTAACTATTTGCTGTGTAATTATCACTTCTATTATTGATTAGGTAGTTAGTTATCAATTCACCACTATATGAACACTTTGTCACTGTTTTTTCTCAGCTTTGTATCGACTAGAACTCGATCTCGTGACAACTATTTATAGAAGCTGGTCGTGTTCGAGAGTAATCCCGTATATGCCATCTAGAAATCTGGTCTTCATTGTCGTTATGTATATTGAGTAGCCTATATACAAGTAACAATATATTAATAGATTATTCATATATGTGTCTATTACGGTTATTTTTGCTTTGGCCGGTTCATTCTATTGTTCTATTAATATATTTACTTGTTATAACCTAGCTGTTAACCGTTGTGTGACTTATGAGTTGACCCTAGTGCCCTATTGACTGCTTACAGATGGACGTAACTCCGTTCTACTAAAAGTTTATTTTTATTGTACCGCAAGTCACCCCCTCGCCCTCCAATTTTAAAACTATTAAATGATATAGTTTACACGTCCGAAGAAGTCAAAGTCTGGGTAAAAATAATATATCACATATTAAATAATACATTTTGCGAAAATCAGCTTATTGCATTTTACTGATTGTGGACATTCATCAAGTTTTTGTCGAAGCCATTTTACAAATTGTTAGGTAGTTACAAAATCACTTGTAACGGAATATCAACCTGGAAACATTCAATAGTTAGGTATCTAAATCTGAAGTGTTTATTATAATACCTAAGCTCAGTTGGATACGCCTGCTTCCTAAAATTCTGCGATATGACCTTCATATTTAAAATACGAAAATGAATTTACCTATACGAAAAACTTTTGGCTATTATGAGTAAAAGTAACTCCAAGGTCATAAAATATATAACCTACTTGGTCTTCTACTTGCACATTTAATCTTGTCTTTGATTTTCTTCAAGAACTAAACCAGCTGTCTTTTACGAAACTATTATAATTGGTTCAGAACAGACGGCCGCAAGAAATTGTGAGGACTGCTTTAGAGTTTGCAGGGAGTAAAAAACACAACTAGACTATAATCAAGTGATAACATTCATCTTCCCTACAAACTGGAGCGACTAAGAAGTGCAAATTCTCAGACTCAGCAGGAAGAAAACGAAGACCCTGCGGAAATCTTTCAAACCAGAGAGAACTGCGATACCTCAGGAATATACTGGGATTAACCACCAGTTCTTGCTGCCACAACTATGATCAGGAAATGGAAAGAACTATTTACGTCCTCTGACACTGTCTGCGCTTACTCAACGTATGCGCGGCCCCGCTTTTTTGGGTGCCACACTATAGAAACAGAAGATGTCACTGTCCGCTATGCCCACCTTTCACCTGAGAAGCTTACTTTGAAGCCTAAGCGAAATCGGTAACTAATTGGAGTACTGTCTGAGGTCTGAATAAACGCAAACCTAGATAACAATCTTAAAATAGGCATACAAAAAGTTGTTTTTACCTATGTATATAAATATTGTATTGTATAGGGTTGTTCGAAAAGTCATTTCGTTTTTTTTTGTGGAAATGAAAGACAGTTTTCGTATAATAAACAAATACTTTATTAAATTATATATTGACCGTTCTGGTCCAACACCTTTTGCCATCTTTCTGGTAGTAGCATAATTCCACGCTCATAAAATTTTTGGTCTTTGCTGGCAAAAAACTGATCGAGGAGGTTTTTGACCTCCTCATTTGAGGTGAAGGTTTTACCGTCTAAAAAATTTTGGAGTGACCGGAACAAATAATAATCCGATGGTGCCAGGTCTGGAGAATATGGTGGGTGTAGCATTGTATCCCATTCAAGCTGTAAAAGCTTTTGGCGAGTGACCAAACTTGTGTGAGGTCTCGCGTTGTCTTGGTGAAACACTACACCTTTCCTGTTGATTAGTTCTGACCTTTTCTGTTGAAGTGCATCATTCAGTTTGTCCAGCTGATGACAGTAGACTTCCGAATTAATCGTTGTGTTATCCGGTAAAAGCCCAAAAAAAAAACGATTCCTTTAAAATCCCACCAAACAGACAGCATCACCTTTTTTTGGTTAATATCGGCTTTGGAAATGATTTGAGCCGGTTCATCTTTTTAGCTCCATGACCTCTTGCGTTTGACGTTGTTGTATACAACCCATTTTTCGTCCCCAGTGATGATGCGCTTCAAAAACGGATCATTCTCGTAACGTTTAAGAAGCGAATCGCAGACGTCAATGCGGCGACACAGATTTCTCTCTCTGTGAGAACATGGGGAACACATACATCGAGCTTCGAGGATAATCCCAGGCCTTTCAAGTGGTTATAAACTGTTGAATTTGATAAATTTAACCTCAATCCGATGGTGTTATTATTCGCCGGTTCACATCAACTGATGCCTTTATTGCGTCTTTGTCAGTTTCAACCGGCCTTCCCGTACGTGGTGCATCTTCGACATCAAAATTTCCGGATTGAAATTTAGCGAACCAGTTCTGGCACTGGCGTACTGTCAACACACCTTCTCCATACACATCAGTCAATTTCTTTCTGGCTTGAACAGCATTTTTACCCTTTCTGTAGTAAAACAGTAAGATATGTCGAAAATGCTACTTATCGCTCTCCATATTTAAAAGGGCACCAACCAAAAACTACTGCGTAGAATTAATTGGAATTTTTCACACACAAGCCTTGCTATATGGGCTCCCAAAGCATATAAAAATTATACGGCTTAAATGTGAAGTTGGGTGCAAAAGAATACAATTAGATCCTCTGTCGGGAAAAAACGAAATGACTTTCCGAACAACCCTATAATTAACTAAAAATTGTACTTCTACTAAACATTATTTAATATTATAAATATAGATATTGCGATAAATAAAATATGCAGGATATCCTGGTTGGTGCATACAAATACAGCCTAATAACGCGACTATGGTGATAATGATAACATAAGACCTATCGAAATAACCCGCGTATATGGTATTCGACATTCAGCGGTTTCGAAGTTAACAGCTGCTGGTTTCGTAATTTTCTCCCATCTTTCAAGAATAATAGTTCCAGAATTATATAACCATGTAAGTTGTAACATTACCTGTTATTATTAACTAACTATTAGCTAATTTCACAATACAGGTGGTTATTGGGTCATACGATTAATAATTTTCAAAATATATTCCTGAGGCATGATAGATTTGCGTTGTGTTAACGAGACGATACGAGGAAATACAGGAAATACCTATTAATGGTGACGATCATTTTCTTGTTTGGCCACGTTCAACACATAGAACATTAACATTAAAATTTCTGTTTATGCTGCCGCGGTCACTTGTTTTGACGTTTCTTTTAAATATTTCATATTGGTGCATCTTCAACAATATATTATGTTAATTGCAATTTATGCTTCAAATTTTGTATGTAATCGGCAATACTTAGCGATCGTAAATTTCTCTGTACCTATATGTTCCTGAGTGTTTATAAATT